CCCATGACAAGTCTGAGAACGGTGGTTACGGCAATTGGCCGACCTCAACCTTTTCCTAAGATGATTGAACTATTCTACTAACTCATTGATAACGATAGTATCGTCGTTTAGTAGATATTTGCCCCTCCCCCCTCTGCTACTGTTAATGCCTCGCATGAAAAGGCTTCCGTGGTCTTATCTTGAAGAAATATTATGCAGTTAAACAGAGAGAAGAAGGAGTCCGTAGTTCGATTTAAAAGCAATTGTATTAGAGCTGAAAGTGCTCTCAGACAGCAGTTTGAGTTTTCTGCGGTGCAAACACTGTTGCTGGAGGGGAAGCAATGTCGGTCAAAATGCCAAGAATTTTATATGTTGCAATGAGGAACACTCTCTTTGTCCGCTCAATAGGCATGGTTCGCGACGAAAAGCGACTGGCCGCCAGCGGCGGTCTCCAATGTTCCCTCAAATTTGCCCAGGGCAGCCATACCGTTGGCCTGGAAGAGAGAGAAACAAATGTCTCATTAAAACATAGAATTGGGCAAGAAATGAATTATCAGAGTTAGAGGTTTCCCTAAACCAACCTTTGCCAACTTGAGGAGCTCATTTTGCGCTGCTTGTGTGTTCTCATTCTTACCCTGCCAGATCTTGATTACGGAGGCCTGGAGAGCCCTACCAAAGCTGAACGTCAAAGCCCAGGGTTTCCTGCCTGGCATGGCGTTGATGGCGTTAAGATTATAGGTCGCATCGGCCTCAGACATACCACCCGACAAGAATACGATACCTTGGTAAAGAATGTGCTTGGATTTTAAGCATAGGCTTACCAGGGACAGCAGCCGGAACTTGCCTTTGGAGGCATTGAATGGTGGCGGTGGCATTCTGCTCCTTAGAAAACTTTTGGGGGCAGGAATGACCGGCGGTCACCATATTAGGCTTCAGAAGAGTTCCCTCAAGGTAGACATGGTGGTCAGCCAATGCCTTGTACTGAAAGGCTAGAACCTCCTCCGTGACGCGTTGCGCAACGTAAAGATCGTGAGATCCATCAGGAAGGACCTCGGGCTCCACTATCGGTACAATGCCGTTCTGCAAAAAAAGGTTATTTCACGTATTAAGTTAGCAGAGATAAAATGACTGTTTAAAAGAAAAAATAACACATACCTGTTGACAGATGACGGCATACCGTGCCAAAACATTCGCATTCTCCATCATTGCCTGATAGGACGGGGTCTTATCAGAAATTTTTAAGACACAGCGCCATTTGGCAAAGTGGCAACCATCTTTCTTGTACTGTGCGCACCTCTCACTCAAACCGTCCAGGCCTTGAGTTGTCCCTTCAGACCATGTGCCTGCCAAAGGAACAACACCCTTGTCGACCTTAATGCCGGGAATAATACCGCGATCCTAAAGTAATATGGATTATATTAGGAAAATGATCCCACATGAAGCAATTTAATTAAAGGCGTGCCATCCTCCGTCTTCTGATAGACTGTGTCGTGGAAAAGAATTACGCCTGAAATGTACTTGGCCAAACATGGATCTGTGCTAAAGAGCAGCTGTCGGTAGCGTCGTCGGTTATCCTCGTTGTTTTCAATGTTAATGCTCTGAAATCGTTTTCCTATTGTTGCTATTTTTGGAAGAATACGAAAAATTGGCGGTTAACTTACATACGCTCTCATCGGCGGCCAAGATACCTTTGCCGGGAGCTACAATAGCATTTGCAATATCCCGCAGTTCCTTTTGTCTGAATTCCGAAAGATATTCCGCGAATCTCCCCGACATAAGGACGGTGCTGTAGAGGTCGGCGCTCAACTGATGTGTGCGGGCCGCGCGTTTGAACTGGGAAATATTGATTTCTCCATTTCGATTGGTCAATATGTGCGTGCGCATGTCACCTCCGACATGGAAGTCATGCGCCATGCATGAGCTCACTGGAAAACCAAATTCGGTTTCCGTCGTTCAGATCCAGGAATTCCACGGTTCTTGTGAAATGAGGTTGAGCATTTTAGTTGGTCTTTGCGTGAGATAATTAGTCTTTCAAGGAATTATTCTATCATGAAGAAGCAGACTATAAAATTCTCGGTTTTCTGTCTTCACGCGTGGTTGTTGGACTTCTCGCGAAAAGATTTTATAATTGCATTAATTTACAACAGACGGTACTTTAGGATTTTCCGTTTCCTATACATCAGTACCCTGTGATCATTAACTTCAGCTAGCTTAGTCTCACCGTTTGCGGACCAAATCTTCTAGAAGCCTTGTTGACGAAAATGAGAATTCCAGGAAAATTGAAAGAAACTAGTGGCGAGTGAAATACGAACCAGCTTACCAAAAGATTGCGAAGTGTGGGATAAGGTAAACGGAGGTGACAGAAACGCCGTGCATGAGAAGTTCGTTTAGAACTACATTTGTGAAAAGCAGCATTAGAATCAATCTCATGTCTGATCCCAGCGTTTCCAGTCAGTTGGCCAAGCGTCATACGCTATGTTGTTCCTATTTGCCGCCACCACGCGGGCCGGCAACGTAATGACCCACTAGGATAAGGTTTATGATTCATCAGTAGAGACTGAGATATTAAAAGGTAATTCAGTGAGTGAGTGGGTAGAAACACTGCTACTTCGACGCATCAGCGCATGTTTACGGGAAGCTCCAGAATATAAGTTTTACTGCACATGGTGAACTGCTATATGCGCTTGGTAAGAAATAATCACGTTTTTTTAGAAAAATAATTCAGCGTTTAATCGTCAAATAATTGCAACTTAGCAGGAGGCCTTTATGAAATGCCCAGTTTCACCAAATGGCAAGCCTCGGTGTTAGCAAGTAGTACTGCACTGTCCACAGTTGCTTTTCGCAATTTAGTTTACTTATCAAGGTCTCAAGTTCCTCATAGGTGACTTTGCGGCTTAGAACCGCGCAGCCAAAACCTAAAGGTGAAAGTTAAATTCGAAAATAATAGCGTGAACGATATTTGGCGTAAAAATTTGGTTCCGTTTTCACAATGAGCTTTCAACAATTCTGGCACATGTGGACCGATTCCTGATAGAGGAGATTACGGGTCCAAAATAACATTGCCGAAAAAGACAAGACTGGAATGACCGTTTCCGACTTGTTAGCCGTCATCAACCAGCCATACCCAACCCCGCGGTATGCAAGCCACTGGGCTTGAACTCGCGAACTATTAGTTAGTAGTCCACCCCCCCCCCCTAGCCATTAAGCCACGGACTAATTGTCCTGTCGGCTGCGATTGGTTATGCTGTTTTGTTCATATTACGCGCTGCTATGCGAGCAATGGCAGGGCTCGAGGGAGACCCTCAAGGAATAAAACACGAGTGAGTTCCGTGACGCGATCGGTGAGCACACTTCTACAATTAAGGGGCCGCTTACCAAAATGGATATATTTATATAACTACAATTTGTGACACTATACCTGTCTGAAAAAGTAAAACTTTAGCGGGATTTGACAATAAGAAGTCGACAGTGGACTGAGACAGTTATAAAAGTAAGTTGATAAATCATATGCCCTTCCAACTGAATACAGAAGGAGTTTCGCTCACAAAACCGATGAACCAGATTTTCACCCCTTGGCTAGAATCTTGCTGTTAACCTCGGTTTCCAAGGCTGAAGATAGTTCGGAAGTAAGTTTTGTTCTAGCCAAGAGCTTGCAACATTGAGACTATACCAGAAGCAAAAGTAAGCCAGGTAGACCTATCCAACCCAGCACGCACTTGCCAATGTCTTAAAACGCTACGCGTATGAGGAGGGGGTCGTAAGACGTCGTGGGAAATGTAAATTTTTTGTCACTTAAATCAATTAAGTAGCTCGGGAATTTACCTTTTGTTACACTAGTGCGGGTCATCGGCTAAAGTTAGAATCAGGATTAGATGGCTACCCCGCCAAATTTAACTCCTCACCGTTGGCGTACCAGGCATTAACTGAGTCTAGGTGCAATAAACGACTTGCGTACCCTACTTTACGTTACAAGCTCTTGGTATAGTGTAGGAAATAGTTGGATGTCACCCCCCAAACTAAGTGAAAAATATTGCTTATCACTTACTAGCTGGTTGTTTACTTATTCATTGGTGCGTATCTGGTTTGCGTCGCCGCGGCTGATCGCGAAAGCAGTCGCTCATTTCCCACAGGACTCGTTTGGAATAAGACGCCGCAAGCTACCGTCAGGATTTGATACGTTCCAACAAACATCGGCGATTTAATGAAAGTCTTTCTCCTGCGCACGTTTAAGCTAATGCCTTGGCCATTTTCGGTGTGTAAACCAGAAGAATCCAAATTTCCAATCAAGGGTGGTAAGGAAAAACGGCGTACAATAAGTGTACGGGAGCGCATCTAATCAGAAACCGCAGGATTATTCTGTAGGACAGACTTAAAGTGTACGTATGAAAGTACCGCAACGTATATTGCCATATTATCGGGGATATGGCATGGTCGTAATAAGCATCGAGCAGAGCCTTGCAATCCGTAGATATTTTTATATTGATACCTCATTCCTGCGTTCAGTAATATCAAAAAGGACGAAGGAGCGCCCCTTTGTGGGTCCACGAGAAGGTCGCAGTAGATCGTTCATTTGCTTGCAGGTGTTGGCTACGCCCAGCCTCCATCAACTGGCACCAAACATTCACAGGTGGCTCCTCGAAGCTAGGTTCTGCTTAGCGGCCACACCCCTCGTAACCGCCTCGATCGGCGGGCTAAGCCAGGCGAGTGTATCCGCGTGCATATCCTCCCACACGGCAATGTTACTCCTCTACCTGCTTCTTCACACATCTTCTCCACATCCCTTATTCGCCTGCGCTACACACTTAACATCTATGCCCTACTCCCCATTCTACTCCTTTCCCTTCCACCTCCTCCCCCTTCACCCTCTTCTCCCCCACCACTCCCCCCTTCCGATGACTTTCCTCCTTATCTACTCTACTCTGCTCCCCTCCCGCATGTCCGGAAGTAGTTCGGAGAGGGCGATATGTAATCACGTAGGCGGCCCAGGCCAATGGGTCGTCCACCCACAAAAACTCGTGATACAATGGAGACCGGTATGCGTATGGAGCAAATAAGCGACACTTTTTAAAGCGAACAGTTTTGTAACGAGAGGGCGAGGGGACTAGAAAAAGTTGACCTAAACAAAGCTGATTTCACGATATCTGCGCGCAGGCCGTGGTATGCAGACTGCTATACATCCGGCTGCAGCAATCAAAACAGAAAAAGTACTGGTAGATGGGCGCTCATTGGTCGTTTCTATGGAACTCACTCGTCCCGTTGTGCCTTACGGGCTCTCTCTCTCTCTCTCGCGAACCAAACCAGCAGCCGCACAGCGGCGCATGATATAGGCAGAACGGCAGTACCATTCTTCTTTTGTCATTCGCCGCTGTGCGTCTGCTGTTGTGCTCAAGAGTGAGCCCGTAACGACCAACGCGACGAGTGAATTCCGTAGAAACTATCTGCGGACGCTCATCTACCAGGCCATATTACCGATCGTAGCCGACAAGACAATGAGTCCGTGGATCAGTGGTTAGAGTCGTTGGACTTCATACTAACAATTCGTGGGACCGAGCTCCATGTGTTCCGCTCTTCAGGGACGGGTCATACTGGCTGACGTCGGCCAATAGTCCGGAAATGTCCTCCGCAATCTCCCTTGTCTTTTTTGGCTAAACCTTAAAGAATACTCTCTCT